CGATTAGAGGGGAGTACAAGTTCACAGTATTCATGTAGACTAAACTATGGAAGTACAAGTTGCCATCAAATTCACAGTATCAAATTGCCGATCAAATGGAAAATTGCGTAGACATACAGTTCACAATACCACGGCTCGATCAAATTCATCATCTAAAGAAAAGGCATGGACTAAACTGTGGAAGTACAAGTTGCCATCTAAGGTTAAAGTCTTCACGTAGAGGCTAGCTTTGCCAAAGTTTGTCGACTGTGTCATTGCCAACCATCAAAACATGTCGGTAACAAGTGAGTGCACCATTTGCGGATGGTTGCAGGATTCGTGGCAGCACTCTGGCAGCACTCCCTGCTTAAGTGCAGAATGGCACGATGTGTTTGGCTATTAGTTGATGAAGAACTATATGAGAATTTGTGACCGTAAGGAGTCAAATGCCAAGTATTGGATGTTAGAGATAGAGGACTGATTCATGGAGAAAGATTATATTAAAGCTATCGTTACACTATGCGCGATTTAAAAGCAAGATGGGATGTCATCCATGAGGAAAAATACCAAGCTCGTTCGAGGCTAATAGTTTTATCACAAAATATCTCATGGATTTGGAATCCAATGAGGACAAGGTGAGCCAGGGCACAGGAAGGACAGGAGTTGCACATATGCTCGTTGGACCCCACCACCGAACAGTGTAGTGAAGGTGAACGTCAACCCTGCGCTAGCACATACTGCTCGTGGGTGTGCTGCATTGGCCATTGCTAGATCAATGGATGGGACTATCCTAGGTGCATTTGTTCTCGTTATTGAAGGCACGCTAGAACCAGCCTGTGTGGAAGCAACACCATGCAGAGAAGCCCTTTGTTTACGGCAAGATCTTTAGGTGAAAACTGTGATTGCGGTGACAGAATGCGTCGGAGTGGTACGGATTCGGGAAGGAAATCGTGCACTAAACACATCAATCATCAGGGAGATCAGAAGCTTCAGGACCACTGTATGAGATATTCCCTTCTACAATGAACGTCGGGAATTGAATATGGAAGCACATAGTATAGCTAGAAACTCACTCGTACTTGCACCAACAAGTTATGTCTGGTTGCTTGAGCCCGGAGGCTATGTAAATGTAACGTCCCGAGACCGATGTGCCAGATGTCTTCCAGTTATTCGATATTGTTGTCTTGTCATTGCTTGCGTGTCATGCTTTGCATATCATGTCATCATGTACATTTCATTTGCATACATATTCATCTCATGCATCCGAGCATTTTCCCCGTTGTCCGTTTTGCAATCCGGCGCTCCTATGTCACCCGGTGTCCCTTTCTACCTTTTTTTGTATGCGGGTGTTAAACATTTTCGGTTTGGACCGAGACTTGTCATGCGGCCTTGGTTCACTACCGATAGACCGCCTGTCAAGTTTCGTGCCATTTGTACTTCGTTTGATACTCCAACGGTTAACCGAGAAACCGAAAAGGTCACGTGTGTGTTGCAGTCCAACACCCCTTCAAAGTGGCCCAAAACCCACCTAAACCCCCTCCATCATCTCGGTCGTTCAATCACGATCGCGTGACCAAAAACCGCACCTCATTTGGACTCTCCTAGCTCCCTCTACCTATATAAACACCCCCTCCGAAATTCACGGTGCAAACCCTAACCTCCTCCTCGCGCCGCCGGACACGTCCGCGCCGACCCGGACATGTCCGCCTCCGCCCCCTCGTCCATTCGGATCGCGCCACTTGTCCTCCGCCCCCGTCCCCGCGCCGCCGGCCCGCGGAGCCCATCGCGGACCCGCCCGGGCCCGGGTCTGCGCGCCGCCGCCCGAGCATCGCCGCCACCTTCGCACAGCGCCGCCGCACGCCGCTCCGGCAACTACCTGCCGCCGCTCCCCGCAGCGCTCCGGCCGCCATCTTGCCCCGCCTCCTCCGCCGCATTACCGCCTCCACCGCAACCGGCCACCGCCACCACGACGCGCTCCACCGCACCGCCGCCTCCCGCTGCCTCCCGTGTGCCGCCCTGCCATGGCCGCCGGCGACCTCGCCCATCGCCGGCGAGTGCCCTGCGTCCCATGCACGAGCCCAAGCTCGACCCGCCGCTGCCAGGGGCTTCCCCGACCTCCACCGCGACCGCCCCCGATGCCTCACGGGCGGATCTGCAGTTCCGGCGATCGCCGGAGTTACTCACCGCTAGAGTTGACCTCTTCCTCCAGATCTGCATGGTCCCGACCATGAACCGCGGCGTTCCCCGAACCAAACGCGCCCCGCCGTCCCGCTCCGCTCCGTCCCGGGATCTCCCCATCCAACTTCCGCGAGGTCTAATTCTCTCTAAGTCCCAGATCTGCATATTTTTCATGCCATATTCATCATGTCATAACTCTGTCATCGTGGCTCCGATTCGTGCGTGTAGCATATCAAAATGTTCGTCTCGTCGAATACATCATTTCATGTCATTGAATCATTTTCATTGGAGCTCATCTTGATGCCCGAAATATCGTTGGAAGAGGGCTATGTGATGATTATGTCAGATCTATTTCAGCAAATGGCCTTTTGTCATTTTTGCCATGATTAATGTGTGCA